AGGCTGTTGACATGGTTTATGTTTGGGTATCTAAGTACATGTTTGTTACCAACATCTCTGAAAGAGATCTTTTCATCATTTTTCTGGTGCAGTTGTGGGTGATTTCACTAGAACTTTTTTGTGGAGGTTCCTTGGTGATCAGAAGCTGTATGTAGTCTTCAGGCGGTATTTGGGGGTGAGATCTGTGTGCATTGGCGCGTGGCACACATCGTAGAGCAGCTCTGAGGTGTCCAGGCAGGCTGTGCGTGTGTGTGCAGGAGCGCCAGGACTGACTCTCCCGTGTGCCTGGTGCGTAGGCGGCCGGGGTTGGAGGAGGAGGTGCACACTTCCATAGTCCTGGTCTGGCCTCAGTGCTGTGCCTGGAGGATGGAGGTGTCCCCCCCGAGCTGTCCCCCTTCTGGAACCTGCTTCTGTTTTCCCTTCCTCATGCGGTCAGTTCTGTGTTTCTCTTGCTGTGCTTAGCTGTGGAACGGACTGTGGCTGGGGTGGGATTGTGAAGCCAGCTCAGCTCAGCCCCGCCGAGGGCCGGCAGCTGCAGCTCCCTATAGCTGGGACGGCTCCTCCCCGGCTCGCCAAGGGGGTTTGGGGCCATGTGGGGAGTTGGCGGTTGTGAAGCTGGTCTCATGCCCTGTGTCCCGGATCAAAGCGTGCCTGAACGAGGGAACTCTGGTGGGACCCCTGCCCCTCTGCTGGAAGTTGTGTTCACTGGTCTGCTCCTTCGGGTCAGTCTGCATCTTTAGGACTTGCTCAGCGAATCCTGCCATGGTCCTCTCACTGCTGGGAGAACTTCATTTATCCTGCACCCAATGTATAAGACCCTACTAACTTGTTTAATTTTTCCTTTCAGACATTTGATGCAAATGATTTGTATCAGGGGCAGAATTTTAACAAGGTCCTCAGTTCCTTAGTGACTCTAAACAAAGTAACAGCAGGTAAGAATTTTTTATTGAACTTGAGGGGGTGGGAAGATAAAAGGGCAAAAACATTTGCTTTTCGGTTGGCAAGGCAAAAATGAACATTACTGAATTGTAAAAATAAGCTATCACATTACATATTTGGCTGTAATTTTTGCTGTGATTTTTTTTTTTTTTTTCCTTATTCGATCAGTCTTCCTCTTTGGGCCTCTGGTGGATAGCAGGTATTTTCCTTTCTGTGGGCAGAAAGATGTCTAGTTGAAACCGTAAGCAGAGGAGAAATGTTTTTCTTGTGGGCACATTCATGGGCTGTCTTCGAGCTAGAAGCACTTTCTCTGGGTTTTTATTAAGTTTATGCTGATCAAAGCTCATGTCTCGGGAGCAGATCCAGGGACTGTTTTTGAGGTGTGGTCATGACCAGGGAAGTGGCCAGTGAATTGGCCCCTGAAATAAACCCCTACCTGGGCTAGGCCTCTTGAGGGTGATGAGGATGCCCAGGCTATGAGCTTTGCAGTGTTGTGAGCCTGGGTCATCCCTCAGTGGAGGGGGCTGAATGGAGCAGAGCTCCCAGACACTGTGAGGACAGGAGAGCTTCTGTGTAGATTTCTTGGAGGGAGGCCCCGCCTGACCCCTGAGCACCGAGAAGCTCTATCTTTAGAGAGCTGTGTGGATCTAAAAGGACTTAGTGGCTCTTGCGTTTTAAAGTCCTTTTTCTTTTTCCATTTACCTTTATACATTTTTAGGTTCAGCTTTATGGGAACAAGAAGACCTTGAGGTCTCTTGATAAGAAACCTCAAGTGTATTTTGTGAGGGGCTCTTGTCATTTTCTTCCTGGTCCTTCAGATAGGGTGTGGGGGAACAGTCAGAACACTGTGGGCTGCAGTCCCAGCTTGGGGTGTGCAGCGCTCAGGGGCTCAGGTGCCCCTTCCTAGAACTTGTTTGCTGGGATGGCTGTCCGGGTGCCGTCTCCTGCCCGCGCAGAGGTGTAGGATGGGGGGCCGGCGTGGGGGGAGTGCCACCCAGAGCCGCTGCCTGCTGTCCCTGGGCAGGACTCTTGATGTGGCTGTGTTTTCCCAGCTTGACTGTGTGGTTTAAAGCTGAAAATCTCCTAGGGCTGTTGAGTTGGAAGTATCTGGGGGAATTGGCTCAGTTGATAGGTTAGGACCTTACGTGAGCAAGTGTGCGAGGTCGGTGACGATCTAAATCCAGGAGGAGGGAGAGAGACCAGGATGGAGAAGGGAAGGGGGTATAAAGATGTACATAGTTAGAATCATCCTACCACTTGATGTTTAGCAGACAGAACTTTAGGACATTTTATACGGTTGTTAGGCATTGAAGCTGCCTTCTTTATCCCACATTGTAATGGAGGTAGCTTTGATGTGAACCGCCAGACTAGGAAGAGACGTGTGTGACGGTGGGCGTAATGCAGTGACGGAAACCTTAGAGCAGATCATTGAAATTGAATGGAGGAACCAAGGCAGAGCGGGCACAGCTGCATGTCTTCGCCACGTGGGTCCTGCCTGCGAGCTGCTTTAATAGCCACCGGTGCCTCAGTTTTGCGGGTGCGTCCTGGGACTGCTGGGGTTCTCTGTTGGAGAGCGTGGCAGACACAGAGGCAGCCTGCCCCCAGGGCCTCCTTCTCTGGTGGCTGCTCAGGAGGGAGGAGGGCCGATACTTGCTTGGTCTCCGGGAAGATGGGGCGGGGGGGGGGGGGCTGCCATGGGGCAGCTTTGGTCCATGCCCTTGGGCGGGTGCTCCTCATCACGAACGTGGCCCCGATCTGACGTCTCCTGGGCATGGTACCGTTGTTTTTACCCCCTCTTGTGCACAAGTATTACTCCTGTACCCTTGAGAGCAGTGGACACTTAGATGTAAGGTGTTCTTGACAAAGACCTGTTTGGAAAGCTGCAAAATAAACCTGATAAACTTGGTACTCTTCCTTTCAGTGTTGACACTGGAAGCCTCTCAGCTGGAAAGGCCCCTCCCCCTTATTTATTTATTTATTTTTAGAGCAAGAGCGTGCCTGTGTGCAAGAGGAGAGAGGGGCAGTGGGAGAGGGGGAGAGAGAATCACAGGCAGACTCTGCACTGAGTGTGGAGCCTGATGCAGGGCTCCGTCCCATGACCCTGTGATCACGACCTGAGCAGAAATCAAGAGTTGGGTGCCTAACTGAGCCGCCCAGGTGCTCCAAGAACTTGTGCTTTTATATTGAGCTATTTGCTCTTAAATTTTGTCCCTGAAGTCTGCGTGATGGAAGTGACTGTGTCTTTTTAGATCTCACTTTTGAATGACTGAATAATAACACGGTTGCAGCTGTTGGTTCCAGGTTTGTAGGCCTTGTTGAGAAGAGCATGTTCATGTTTTCCCTTTACTTCTGCCACTTAGAGACCCTTGTGTTCTTTGGGTATATCGATGAACACTTGCCTTTTAACTGGACAGAAGACCGTGGGAAAGAAGGGATGTCCTGAGACCCTTCCATTACACTAAGCGGTCCCTTGAAAGGTAGCGTTAGGCGAGAACGGGGAGCACGGCACGTCGCCACTGTGGGCGGAATCCCCGGGAAGTGCCCCCGAGGAGCTGGTTTTGTCCTCGGGATTCCTGAGGTCTGGCCTTGCTGCGGTAGGAAGCACCGGCCATGACTACAGCCTGAGGCAGGACCTGAGGGTGGCAGTGGCCTGTTCGAGCGGCTCTGCCAGGGCCTTAGGACCGGGCCTGCACGGCTGTTCGAGGCCTGGGTTTCCAGACGCCGGCCTCTGTCTGTAGAGCCGGCTGGGCATCAGGAAGGACAGGCAGAAGCCCCGGCAAGCGGGCCCTCGCCACGTGCGCAGGCCTGCTTGGCCCTCGGGGAGCGCAGCCCCGGGGCTGGCGCAGCCCGCAGCCTGTGTGCTTCTCCCTGGGAGAGCTGCAGACGTGCAGCCGGCCGCTAGCGGGGCCTCGGAGGCCCGGTGTGAGCCAACCCCAGCAGCCCTGCCGGAGGAACAGGAACCGGAGATGAGCAGCTTGAGGATATTTCCGTTTTATTACTTTGCTTGCTTATGTATTTATACTTTATTTTTAGAGAGCGTGCGTGGGGGGGGGTGGGGGGGGGCAGAGGGAGAGAGAGAACCCCAGGCAGGCTCCGTGCTCGGCGCAGAGCCGAAATCAAGAGCCGGCTGCTTAGCTGACTGAGCCACCCACAGCCCCAAAGACATTTTTAAAGAAGGCCCCCCATATGTGTAGTAGTTTTAGGAAGTTGCTAGGTTTGTGGCTCTTGGTATAGTGATTTCCCTGGAAAGTTTCTTCATGGCTTCATCGGTTTTTTTTTAGTCCACTCCCTTCTGAGAAATGGGTTGCTAACATTTACTTGGTGGTTGGCCCAAGTGGAGTGTCTCTGCTCATGAAGAGACTGAGGGAGTGAGCTGAGCACTTTCATACCTGCTTACTTCAGTCCTTCCAGCAGCTTTGTGAAGTAAAGTGTGGCTGCCTTCGTTCTGAGGAAGTAATCCTCAAAAGGGTCCCTAGCTAAAAGCTCCAAGGGGATTTTTCTCTTTAAGTAAGAGTCTTTTCCTTTTGTTGCAAATAATTCCTGCTGCTTATTGCATGAAGCTCAGTCCTGGAGAAGTGGGTGGGCAGGGACAGTGTGTCGGGAAGCAGTACTGGGGGGATGCTCTGAATTTGAGAGACTTATGTTTTCCATGTGAAGGGGAAAATATTAAAAAGTTACAAAACCTTTAAGAAATTTGAAAGTTATACTAAGGAACTGATGAATAGTTCCGCCCAGTTAATTTCTGGGGAGCGTGCGGGCCGTTTCTGCGGTGGGCAGTCTGCCCTGCTGCACGTGCGGCCCGCTTCGTTGCCCCTGCCGTGTGTCCCCTGGGGCTGCCCCCGTTGAGAGTCCGGTGGGCTGCAGGGTACGCGCTTGCCAGCGTCTCAGCCCGCTCTTCTCTCTGCACGACCTTTTCAGACATTGGCCTGGGAAGTGACTCCGTGTGTGCCCGGCCCTCATCTCATCGGATAAAGTCTTTTGACTCGCTGGGAGCTCAGCCTTCGCACAGTCGGACTTCAAAATTGTTCCAGGGCCAGTATCGAAGTTTGGTAAGTTTGAATGAATGATTGGAGTATGTCGGGGAGATGAGTGTGTGCAGGTATGTCCAGGAAGGTCTGTATGCCCCTGAACTGGGCGCTGCCCAGCCGGAGGGCACTTCGGCTTTGTTCCCGTGGTCCCTTTGCTTGCGTATGGCATTTGTTTATCACCACATTATCCACATGTTACACTTGACTGCTTTTGAGAAACTTGTGTATTTTGGGGGCTATATTTTAAGAGTCCTTAGATGTGTTAATCTAGAGAGATGGGTGCTTTAAAGTGTTTCCCAGATCCCTTGTACTTTATTTGCTTTGTGCAAATGTACAGAAGTATGGGAATAAGAAATTTAGATGTGTAAGGAAGAAATGGCTAACAGCTAAAGAATCAAAAGGTGGTCTTTCTCAGCACGACCTAGAGTGCTTTCCTGAGTCAGGATGTGATTGGTGAAGGAGGGACTTCCTTCTAATGGCTGGTGGGGATGTGGAAAAGGAACTGAAGTGAATGGTTATCCTGGGAAGTGAAGAAAAATCCATGTCTGAGTTGTTAGGATACAGGCTGTGAGCAAAGAACATAGGGCGAAACCACGAAACTGGACAGAGATGAAGTACAGCACTGAATGGGGACCGTGTGCTGAGAGGCCATCCCGCGGTCCTTGTACAAACATGCGGAGCCCTCTTTGGAGTTACTGGGTGATTGCCCTTTGTCGTGTGACTTCACTTTCACGGACCACTTTAATAAACCTGTGTTAGAGACAGATGGTCTTGCACATGAGTCTAAAGAGAACCCAACTCTTGAGGGTTTAAGGACCACAGCTACGTTGTCTGCTTTGACACAGAAAGGAAGATAGTTAAGCTAATGGTGACCCTAAAGAAAGAAATAGGTTAGAGTTATATTTTGTGGAGGGAATTTGACTTTAATTCATGAAGGAAGGAGGGTTGAAAAAGAAGCTATGGAAGGCAATGTAGTTTTCTACATGTTCCTGAACTTTTTGAACACAAGCTAAATTGTTACTGGTTTCTCCTTAGAGCGGCGCCATTACTGTTTCTGCCCTTGTGCATGCTGTGCACGCTGTTCCAGGCGCTGTCCCTGCACTGCTCAGATAACCCTCCCAGTGACCCCACGGGGCACAGGCTTTAACGCTAGGTGAATTTTGCAGAGCACTATTGGGAGTATTTTGATTCCAAATTGAGGAAAAATACACAAACTACTTGAAAAACATTTTATTTAATTTATTTTTTTAAAAGGTTTTATTTATTTATTTGACAGAGAGACACAGCGAGAGCGGGAACACAAGCAGGGGGAGTGGGAGAGGGAGAAGCAGGCTCCCCGCAGAGCAGGGAGCCCGATGCGGGACTCGATCCCAGGACCCTGGGATCAGGACCTGAGCCGAAGGCAGACGCGTAACGACTGAGCCACCCAGGCACCCCTTGAAAAACATTTTAAATTTAGCTTTTATAAAATTTCTGGGGGAAAATGTAAGAAAACAAAGCACACTCTGGGTAAAATACCTGTTGCCTCACCCATTTACCTGTGCTAACTTTTCAATATTTTAGAACATGAATGCATGTGAGGTGGGGGGGAGGGCAGAGAGAGAATCCCAAGTAGGCTCTGTGCTGGGCAGGGCTCAGTCCCATGACCCTGATATCATGACCTGAGCCTAAACCAAGAGTCGAATGCTCCCAGGCACCACTACCTGTGTCCATTTTTAACTACTTGTTTTTGAGTACATGAAGACTAGATTGCAAATATATAATTTCAAGTAAAATGCAGTTAAATGTAATGTTGAATAGTGAATGTTACTGGGATCACAATAAGCATAGGATTAATTTTTAATGAGCTGGAGAAATTTTAAGTTACACCAGAAATAAAAGGCCCTGTGCCATCCCTCCTGTTTAGGATTGGAAGAGACCCCATTAGCTGCTGGTGAGCAAGGAGCAGGGGCAGGGCTTCTCTTACCACGCTGCATGAGGATGACTTTTGCCTTTAGATTTTTCTGCAGGTGTTCATAGTACTTTGAGGTAACTTTCTTGGGTTAAAAATTATAAGGATGGCAAAATATTCAAAGCTGGGTGGTGGGCACGACAAAGAGAAATTGTTTTCTTAATTTCACTTATAATTGTGCCAAAAAGAATAAAAAAGGAATAAACATAATCACGGAGGTGAAAGACCTGTACTGTGAACACTACAAAACAGTGAAGGAGCTTGAAGACGACACCAACAAATGGAAACACACCCCTGGATTAGAGGAGTCCATGCTGTTAACGTGCCCATGGTCCCCAAAGCAGTCTGCAGATTCGATGCAGTGCCTGCCAGAATCACAGTAGTACTGATCCCAGAACTAGAACAAGTAATACTACAGTTTGTGCGGAGCCACAGAAGACTTGAAATAGCCGAGGCAGTCTTGAGGAAGAACGACGCTGGAGGGATCCTAATCCCCGATTCCAGGGCACACTACAGAGCTGTAGCGGTCCCAGTACAGTGCGGGCGGAGGAGTCGACACAGATCAGTGGAGCAGAACTGCGAGCCCAGAAAGCCTACAGCTGTGTGTCTAATACAAATAAATATTATAGAAATCCGTGGCAGAGGAGGCAAGAATATATAATGGGGAAAGACGGGGTCTCTTCAGACAGTGGTGTTGGGGAAAACTAGACCACTTTCTTAAACCACACACAAAAATAAACTCAAAATGGATTAAAGATCTAAATGTGAGACCTGAAATCATAAAACTCCTAGAAGAAAACAAAAGCAGTAATTTCTTTGACAACGGCCATAGAAACCTTTTTCTTGGTATGTCTCCTCAGGCAAGGGAAACAAAAAACTATTAGGAGTACACCAAAATAAAAAGCTTTAGCACAGCAAAGGAGCCATCAACAAATGAAAAAGACAACTTGCTGAATGGAAGAAGTTATTTGGAAGTGACCTATCTGATAAAGGGTTAGTATCTAAAAATATATTAAGAACTTACACAAATGAACATCAAAAAATCCGATTAAAAATGGGCAGAGGACCTGAATAGACATTTTCCCAAAGACCTACATGTGGTCCAAAGACCCATGAAAAGATGCTCAACATCACGAACCACCACAGACTTACATCTCAGAACCACGGTGTGAGAGAACCCCTCATCTCCGTTGGAATAGCTAGTATCGGGAAGACCATTAGGAGGTGTTGACGAGGATGTGGAGGAAGGGGAGCCCTCGGGCACTGTTTTGGGAATGTAAATTGGTGCAGCCACTGTGGGAAACAATATCATGGTTCTTCAGATTGCAAATAGAAATACCGTATGATCAGTAACTCCATTACTGAGTATTTGCCCAAAGAAAACAAACACTAATTTAAAAAGATACACGCACCTCCGTGTTTATTGCAGCATTATTTGTAATAGGCAAGATGTAGAAGCAACCCAGGTATCCAGACAGATGAGTAAAGGTGGTATATATTCACAATGAAATATTACTTAGCCATAAAGAATAAAATCTTGCCATTTGCAATAACAAGGATGGACCTAGAGGGTATAATGCTGAGTGAAATAAGTCAGAGAAGGACAAGTACCACCTTAGTCCACTTGCATGTGTTATCTGATAAATGACATAAAAAGCAAAAACAAACCCATAGAGAACAAACTGATGATTGCCAGAGGGGTTGGGGGATGGGCAAAGTGCGCAAGAGGGAGAAGGAGAACAACAACTCGGGGACAGGTGGATCTCCAGCTACCCGTAACTTTCTATTTTGTTTGAAATTTTCCATAATCTAAAATCAGTTTGCGGCTTCCTGAGCATTAGTTTTGTGATCTCTCGATTGTGTACGGCACCGCCATTCCCAAGGCAAGGACTGGTGTTCTCAGGGTGCGCTCTCAAAGCCCTTGGGCGCACACACTGACTCCGTGCTTGCACCTCTGGTTGGGCAGGTCCCGCCTGACCACCTCGGAGCTTGCTGTCCTCAGAATCTTGCTTCTGGGTCTCTGAATCTGTCTGTTCCTGGACAGCTTTCCTGCTTGTGAGGTTGGCACGTTTGAGCAGTTCTAACGTTTTGTTTGTACGGACCTGGAAATTTTAACTTCCTTATCTTGGCACTTCCCTGTTGCTTCCTCATTACTCTTTTCTTGGGGTGAGTTCTCCCCGCTCCTCACCAGCAGCCTGTGCTGAGCTCTTTCTGTGCCCCTCTGCTGCACACTGGGCCCCTCCCCCAGACGGAAGGGCTCTGTAACTGCATTGGAGAGTGGGGGCCTCAGGCTGTGACTTGGGTCTTGTTTTTCCTCCTGTCTGAGGCTGACTTCATCCTCTTTCATTGGTGAATAAACTGGTACGGACTGCTATGGGGTTTCCTCCTGTCCCTCTATACCCTGAGTTTTCATCCCTTAACTCCTGGTAAGTATGACCGTGGGCTCCCGAAGTTTCCCCCCGCCACATCTGGGGAGAGTAGTCAGATGAGGAGGGGATGTGGTTGCTTCCTGTCACCCTTCACTTGGGGGAGTCCTGATGTAAGCCCTTAAAGCATTTTCTGTCCCTGTGGTCTCTACTACCTCCTGGGACTGGGGCCAGCCCTAGTCACTGAGCTCCCAGAGGGTCTTTTAGGCATGCAAGACTGTATATCTGTGTGTTCCTCATGGTTTAAATCTTCCCAGTTCCTCTGTCCAGCAAGCATGGGAATACTGGGCTGGTTCAATGTATTATGTGTCATCAATTCTGAGAGCTCTTTAAAACCTTTTTACACATCTGAAAGTAGCAAGTGTCTTAATGGCTGATGGTATGTCCTGACAGCATTTGGAATACAAAGGGGGCATCATCTAGTTGCTGGCATCTTCTTTTTGACGGAATACGTTCTGAGGAAACAAACTTAGAGAAGTCCTATTTACACGAGGTCTCGAGACTGGGAAATACTAGCCATTGGAGTAGAAATTGAGTCTTCCCTTGACAGGCTTTTCTTCTTTCAGTGAAATTATGGGTACTTCCAGGAAACAGAGGATGGAGTTCATATGAAGGCAGTGCTCTGGGATATCCTGGTTTTGGATTATTATGATAACTTCAGAATGTGGGATAAAAAAATTGCTTGGTGAGGATCTGGATGTGCACGGTATTGACAAGCAGGCCTTTGTGGGCATCGGGAGGTGGCTTTTAAGAACAGACGTGGTGGGGACAGGTTCCTGCTCCCAGAGGAGGTACTCTACATGTACTCCACCATTTACTCCCCTCACTGACCTGAAACCTACATCTAGAAGACAGCTTGATGAGTTTTTACAAGTCACACAATCCCATGTAAGATCGAGAAGCAGAACATGACCAGTGTCACCTTTGTTAGGTTTGCCTTTCCCAAAGGCATCTGCTGTCCTGATTTCTGACCGTGAAGATGACCTTTACTTGTTTTGTATTTGACATAAATGGAATTCCCCAGCGTATACTCGCTCTGTGAGCGGCTGCTTGGGCTCAGCCCATTATATTGTGGGCTGTCGTGGCGTGTCAGCTTGAACCCAGATACCTCATGAGCTTTAGTGGCAGGAGCACTTAGAAAAAGGGGAAGGAGAGAAATCCAAAATAAGATGGTGGTTAAATACGTGGTTGCGGTTTCCTGACCCCAGCGGCAGTGACTTGAGCACTCCTTGTCCGCGTCGGGCCGTGTGGAGTCCTTGTGGCCTCCTGTCTGGTGCACCCCCTTGCTGCATCTTGCTCTTAGCAGCATTCCTCAGAACAGCGTCTTACATTTATGTCTCTAGTAGGTGCTGGACCAGTGGACATCTGTGGAAGTAGAAATGCAGACCGACCAGGCTGGCCCCCGTCCTTCTGTTGTGGAGTGTCTGAAGTGGAAGAAGCGTCTGTGGTGTTTGCCTGACGTGTGCCTGAGTGCAGAGAATTTGCAACTTGGGGGAGTGTAGTTGACCTCATTTGTCCTGTTCCGGTCACTGTGGCACCTGGTTGCTGAGCCGAGGTGGATCGCTGGCTGTAGGGTGATTCCTGGGGGGCAGTTTGAGCTCCGTGGGGCCCGCTCTGTGTGTGTGCTTGCTTACGTGTTGTGTTCCGTTGTGGAAGTTGATCACCAGGATTGGCTCTGTGCAGGTTTTCTACAAAGCCAACTTGCCCAAGGTGGGTCACAGAAAGGAAGATGGTGGTGGATGACCCATGCAGGAGGACCGTGGTTTGCAGAGATGAGCTGACCCAGCGTGGCAGCCTGACCTGGCTTCCCTCCCCAGAGCGGGGACCGATGTGCCCTTTCTAGTACGGGGCTTCAGCTGCCCCTCGCTGTTCAAGTCTGCCAGCAAGCATCACATGTGAGGTGACTGGTTGGCCAGAGCTTTGTCTTTCAGTGTTGCCAGACGCTCAGGAGATTTCCATACTGAGCATTCTAAGCATTAAATGTGCAGTAGGTACGACGTGTTTAATTTACTAGAGAAGACATTTAATGGATGTATCTAACTGAGTAAGTTTTTGGCATTTATATTAACGTAAAATACGCAAGTAAGTGTTGAACATCTGCCCCTCTTGAAGCCCTGTCCCGCTGTTTGTGCTTCTCTCTTTCTCTCTCTCTTTGGTGACACATGAACCTAGTTTGGAATCAGGTCCTTCAGGACCTGGTGCAGCAGGAACCAGGCAGCCAGCTACTTCCCGCCTTTCCCGTTGTCTCAGTAAATGCCTGTGTGAAGCTTAGCTTCTTAGACCTGCCATGGAGTGGGGGTCTTCGGGTCTCATGCTGCACCCTGGGCCCGAACCTTCCTCTTGCCTGGGTTTCCCCTGTGGCTTCTGTTGGGTCCGGTCCGCGTAACGTCACCATGTCCCAGACCCACAGCGCGGCTGAGGCGTGTGCTGTGATTGCTCGTCCTTTCCTGACCACGTTTTGTTATCTAGAGTTAATAACTGTTGCCTGTTTGAGCTTTCTGTGCATCCTTGCGGACTGCAGCCCTGGTCTTCTGCCTGTTTCTAAGACTCTCCTGTACATTCAGACCTGCTTAGGATTTTTCACTTCTTCCCCGGGAACTCCCCTGCAGTCTTGTGGCCACTTGAGAGTCTCCTGGTTGTTGCCAGGCTCCTGCCAACTTCCGTCTGAGCTGTCCTCCTGCGTCACCCTCTCCTCCCTCTGACCCAGGCCCGTCCCTCCCTCCTCCATAGAGAAGACGTAGCGTCTTCTGTTTTTCCCTGGCTGATTCCCCTGTTTTGGAGGGGCACGTCTTTCAGTAACTTGACGAGAGGGTGCACGGGCCATGAAGTGTTTGAGAGCTTGCATGGCACCACATGCCTTTTTCATACTAATTCTAAGCTTTGCTTCAGTTTTCCATAGTGTAGTTACGACGTGACTTGGTTGGGGCTTCTTTGGGCTGCTTCTGCTTGGGGTTCACGCGGTTTCTTGACTCTGTAGGTTGGTGTCTTCTGCCGGGTCGGGGACATGTTTAGCTGTGTTTCTCAAACCACCTTCCGGCACGGCTCTTTCTCCTCCACGATCCCGATGACGCCAGTCTCAGGTCTGTCATTTTCCACACATCCCTGGGGCTCCCCGTGTTTTCACCACTGTTTTGAGTAAATTTTGTAAGTTCTTTTTTCTTTTTTGAGGTTTTCTGTCTCATTCCTCAATTTTGAGAGAACTTGTAATGGTTTTTGGAGCCTTTTGATGAAAGCCCTTTGTGATCCCAGCATCTGCTGCATGTCCGTGCTGCCGTCGGCCGCTTCACTGGTTCAGGCTGGGATTGTCCTGGTTCTCTGAGTGAGCGGTGCTTTGCCTTGTATTCTCGACACTTGGGAGGAATGCAAGGAGATGCTGCATCCTGCTTTTACGTCTGGTGTGTTTGCAGGCCGTGACCCTGACTGGGCTTGATATAATGGTCCTGTCCTGTGTTGGTAGGTTGTGCTTCCAGTGGTAGCTTAGTTTCCAGAGTCCTTGCGGGGGTGTCTGGTCAGCCTCACCCCCCCGGTATTGCTGGGGTTCCTTCTGGTCCCCGATGACCTTGCTGGATGGGAGAGGGGACATGCTGGGCCTGGGCCCTCCCCTGAGGCTGGCTGGAGGACGGGGGCACATGGGGCCATTGGCTGCCACCTGGTGGGGTGGAGGCAGGGACTCCCTGCCTGATCTTTGCTGATGTCACGAGTGCAGGGGGAGTGCTGGTGCTCCGTGGGGTATGGGACTACCTTTCCTGTCCCCGTGGGCTCCCTGGTGCAGGCAGAGAGGGCACAACCCTGCCAGGGGATGGGTGGGCCTGCACGCTGACCCTCTTTGGCTCCTTTCACCAGGAGATCAGGCTTCCTTGGGGGGATGTGTTTAGTTTACTCATGTTGGTAGTTTCTAGTGGCAAGGCTCTCCAGCACCCAGTCTGGGGTAGATGGGAATAAAAAGAAGCACTAGCCAGTCTGCCTCCCTCCTTTCAGCCTTTCAGAGATGGGCACATGTGCTTAATCTCTGAGGAAAAAAAGCAAATGAAAAGGAGATACCATTTCTTGCCAGCAGTTGGGCGCAAATGAAAATGCTGGGCAATATTCAGTGCTGGGGAGTGTGCAGAGAGCCAGCTCTTCAATACTGTTGGGGGAGTGTCGCTGGCTGTAAGTAGAACCTCTCTGGAGGGCGGTTTGGAAATTGGTACTAAAATTTAGAATGTGTCATACATGTTTTTTGACCTGAATTTAATGTGTAGGCTTATTTACAGGTGTGTTCAGAGATGTGCAGATAAGATAGTTTTAATGCAACCTTGTTTTGCAGTAGAAAAACAGTAGCAATAACCTTAGATCCAGTAATGGAGAATGAGTTAATGGCATGGCCATACAGTTCAGTTGCATGGTTGGTTAAGACTAAAGTAATTATGCTAGAAATGACCACACTGTGTTAACTTTTGATAAATTGTCGAGATGCTCCATATGATTTGATGTAAGTGTATGTATGAAAGTGTGTAATGTTAACGTAGGCCTAACCTTGGCCAAAATAAGGCCTTTTAGACCACGAAGAGGGTTTCCTCCGGGGCTGGAACCGGGTGCTGGTGGTCAGGGTACACTGTAGGAGGTCCCAAACCTGTTTCTGTACTTGAACGGTTGTTCTGCTGTTGGAACAGGGCGGTTATGCTCCGCTCATACTAGTCAAACATCATCTAATTTTATGTGAAGTAGACTCCGTGAAATTTTTCTCCCCCTTCTTCCCTTTTTAGGACATGACCGACAATAGCAACAGCCAACTGGTAGTGAGAGCCAAGTTCAACTTCCAGCAGACCAATGAAGACGAGCTCTCCTTTACGAAAGGAGATGTCATCCATGTCACGCGGGTGGAGGAAGGCGGCTGGTGGGAGGGCACGCACAACGGCAGGACTGGCTGGTTTCCCAGCAACTACGTGCGGGAGATCAAGCCCAGCGGTAAGTGGGGCCCTGCCGGAGGGGCCGCTCTCTGTCTGGCACGGAGCACAGACAGAAGGGCGTGCGCTGCACGTGGGGAGCTGCTCTCCGGGTGAACTGGGCAGAGGAGTCCTGCTCTTGCCCGCTGCTTCTTCCAGAGACGTTATCCTTGCTTTCCTCCGCCTTGGGGTGCTGGCATGAAGGGTTCATCCTTAAAAGGAGCATTTCGTTCAGTCATGATATCCGTTTAAAATAAGGACTTGGGGTTTGCCGTATCACATAGGCTGTTAATTTTTATCACTATGGGTGCTTTTGGCAATGATGTATAATTTGTTTTTTTTGTGTTTATATTTGTATAGTATTTTAAAATGCATCACTTTCCTTATGTTTTCTGTAATTAACATTATTGACTTCTAAAAAGTTATTCAGAGGCTTATATTATTTTGAAAGGGAATAGTCGTAGTCGGCACTTACTTCATTTGTGTTGTGTGATTCTTGAGGAATAGAAGTTCTGAGGCCGGGCCTGTGCTTTCTGTCAGAAGGGTGTGGGTGTGACAGTTCTGTCCTGGGCATGCGTCGCTTCGTGGCTCGTGTCATGAGTCAGCGTTAGCGGTGTACAAAGACTGCTGGGTTTATGAGTGTGGCTGTGTCGTTCTGGACTTCACAGATTCCTGCACACAGATGCCCCTTGAACAAGGTGGGCTTAGGGGTGCCGACCCCCCTCTGCAGCCCCAAATCTGTATAACTGACACCCCAGGACTTAACTGCTAGTGGCCTACAATTGACCAGAACCTTACTGATGAAATTAAGTATATTTTGTATGTCGTCATGTACTCTATCCTTACGATAAAGTTAAAGGAGGCATTGCTAAAAAAGCAGAAGGAACTGCGCATTTGCAGTACTACAGTGTCTTGGAAATGGACCCCTGCAGTTCCAGTCTGTGTTGTCCAAGAGTCCACTGTATAAAAACCCTTGTGCTTCTGTGGACTTGGCGCTAAGTGCCACCCTCCCAGCCCTTCTGACACCAGGTGGGTGGTGTCCGAGCAATTCGGTGACCTCAGAGCTCCCAGAACCCTGGTAATTTCCTAAGTGATAAGAGCACTGGGAGCATCTTTTGTTCTAATACTTGGTCTTTGATCATATTTCCTGATACAGAGCTCCCAGAACCCTGGTAATTTCCTGCGTCCCGAACCAGGGCGGGCAGACCAACATTTTTTCTATTTCCAAACCACATTTTGCTTATCCATTCATTTGTTGCTGGACATTTGGGTTGTTTCCACCTTTTGCTGTTGTGAGTAGTGTTTTGAACCTGGGTGAGATTGCTTGAGTCCTCTCCGTTCTCTTGGCTGTGTGCCTAGGAGTGCAGTTGCTGGTTCCTGGGCTGACTGGGATTCCTGAGAAGCCGCCATGCTGCCCTCCCCAGCAGTGCACGACGGTCCCAGTTTCTCCACGTCCTTGACCACACGTTTTTGGTAGTAGTTGTGGGTGTGAAACGGTACTTCACTGTTGCTGTTTTTCTCTAGTTGATAACAAATGCAGTATCTTCGTTCCAGTAAAGGTCACAGTAAATAAGTTTCTTGGTTACTGTATGAAGTGCTGTTATCGTGGCCTCATTTAGTCCTCACCACGACCCCAGAAGACATGGATATTCAGGGCCTAGGGCACAAATCCTCTTCCTAATGCATGCAGGTGTGGAGTCGGCTGAGCCTGTAGTGCTGGTATCAGGCTGATAGGGATGGAAATGTCGCCTTAATCTTACAGACTCAGCTTCTGGGGCGGACCGTTGTTCCTGGTCAGGCCCTGGGAAGGGCTGAGTCTAGTCTCTGAGCCCAGCTCCTGGCCAGTCCTGTAGTCTGCTGGTCATCCTGGGGCCAAGAGTGCTGCCCTGGGCCAGGAGCTGGGCTCCAGAATGCTGGAGTTGGGGAAGGGAGAGGGGAGGGGGAGGTGGTCTTTGCCTTTACCAGTGAGGGCAGGGGGTCACAGAGCTGCTGCTGGGGCCCGCCATCAGAGTGGAACCTGACTGGGCCTATCTCTTTTGAATCTGGGCCTTGAATTCTGCTATGAATGACTCATTTATTTTCTGTTTATTTATTTTTAAAGATTTTATTTATTTGAGAGAGAGAGAGAGCACGAGCGGGGGTGGGTGGCAGCGGGACAGGGAGAAGCAGGCTTCCCGCCGAGCAGGGAGCCTGATGCGGGGATCGATCCCGGGACCCCAAGATCATGACCTGAGCCGAAGGCAGACTCTTCACCGACTGAGCCCCCCCACCCCCACGCTCCGGGAATGACTCATTTTAATGGGAATCTTGGGCTGACTTTGAGTTGCCACAGGAAGAGTGCAAGTGAATTTTTACTTCTCAGGTATTTCTCCCCACGGAGTTTTGAGAGTTACCTGTTGACAGTTATATGGAAAAGATAGTCCGTGGGTCTCAAAGTCCTCCTCAGGTGACTTTGGGAGTTGTTTCCTAAAGGACTGGGGCGCAGTGTTGCTTTTGGCAGCAGGTGGGTTCACAGTGTGCTGTCACCTTGTGAAGTCTGGTCGTGCCGCACCAACACCTTGCCCGGGGGAGTGTGGGGCCAGACAGCTGCTGGGACAGATGCCGCTTGAAGAACAACTAGCCATTGCATGGGGGGTCGAGTTGACTTAAAGAAAAGTAAGGGGCACCTGGCTGGCTCGGTCAGTGGAGCCTGCGACTCTTTGATCTTGGGGTCGTGCATTTGAGCCCCATGTTGGGTATAGAGATTATTTAAAAATAAAATCTTTAAAAAAGAAAGCCATTACGTGTTTGTGTTGACTTATGTCAGGGGTGACTGCATCCTGTTCCACCAATTTTTACATCTTACCCGTGTTTCCATGTGCACGTGCATGAGAGAGACCCTTTTAAACACGTATGTAACCACATTGGGTCACGTGGAATCCCTGGTTTTTGTACTGAATGGAGACAAGTAACTTTGGAAAATTCCCTGTTTCTCTATTTTTTAAAGTGTAAAGAACACGTTTGCTCCAGTTGGTGATTTCTCATGCTAAGTATTCCTTAGCTGACGGTTGGACTGAAGGAATAACCTTTTGGGAATAACTTCCCGTGCTGTGTTCACAAATTATCTGAGTATATTTTAAGGAAACTTATCTCTTTCTGAGCTTAGTTGTCGGCATTTGAGACAAACGGGAAATCCCATTTTTACTCTGTCACTTTACAACAGTGGAGAACTTGAGGGTCACAATAACATGCTAGTATTGTAATTCCTCAGTTATTTCAGTGACTTTCTGATTTTGGATGAGGATTCCTTTCTGGAAGGGTGTGTTTCAGATAAACATTGTAATTCAGTGTAATTCTTCATTTTCTGTAAACAAAATGTGCCAGATCTAACTGGCAATTATTAAGGATCATTTCCTCGTAAAACAAAAATACGGACGTCCTTTAAATTGTGAGTTTCTTCTTGTTACAATTCTGATTTACGAATCTCGTTCTTGAATAAACACACCCGAGGTCTACCTCTCAGTGACCCCTTTTGAGCTGCCTGTCTCCAGGTGAGTGCTCAAGAACGTCCACTCGATCTGTCCCACTTCTTGGAAGTGTAAGTGGCCATGAGTGTTTGCCCTCGCAGCTGCAGACTGCAGCCTTCCTGTGGGGCTTCACGCGTGTAGGTGTGTGCCTTTGACCTGTGTGTGCTTGCTTTTTTTTAATTTTATTTTATTATTATTATGTTATGTTAATCACCATACGCTACATCATTAGTTTTTGATGTAGTGATCCATGATTCATTGTTTGCGTATAACACCCAGTGCTCCATGCAGTACGTGCTCTCCTTAGTACCCATCACCGGGCTAACCCATAGCCCTCTTTGAAGACCAGTGTCCCCCAAGAGTCTGCAGGAGGGTATTTCCAAAGCTTGCTGCGAGTGTGCTTTTCTCCCTGAGTATGTACCCCCTTATGGCAGGTACCCCTGTTATTTAGCATTTATCTTCCATGCACATTGTTTTGATATGTAAAAATAATGGAATTCTGCTTTTTGTACATACAAGGTGTGTGTTTAATGCGCATTCTCTAAAGAATTTCTTAAATTGGAGACCGAAGGAGAGAAGCAACAAAGCGGGTAGTCCTGGGGGAGAGGGACGTTGCTTGCTGCTACTGTTGAGTCGGTTGGTAGTCGTGGGCCTCGCTACAGGTCATGTGCCCCTGGGGCTGGGGCGTCATGCTTACTTTTGACATGGGAAAGTGACCTAAAACGCCAACTGGGTTTTGGGTGCAGCGATTAATTTAGTTATAGAAGAACAGCGGTATGAATATGATCTGCAAGGAAAGGGGGAGAGGTAACAAGTTTGTTTTTGTATTTCTGGAAGTAAGAGTGTGCGTGTGCGATGTTAGGTTTCTGAAGGCGCCCAGGATAAGGCGGCCCTGGAGGGTAGGCCTGTCTGCTCTTTCTTCCAGGTGTAGATGCGGTAACAGGCGGGAAGAGTTATCCCACATCAGAGTTGTACCTCTGAGGCACAAGTGGGGAACCTGGCATGACGTATGGA